GTTTTTTATATTTAAAGAATTTGCCACTGATGATTCAAAAGCGAGTTTTGAGCAGTGTAGAGTAGCGCTTGTTGTTTGTAATTTCTCCGATCACAAATGCAGATATGGTTTTATGTTTACGCAGCGCGATACGCAATGCGTAAAAAGACAGTATAAGTCAGTATAATCAGTAATTATGTCTCCACTGGATGCAACAACTGCCTCATTTGTAATGGGTTTTATTGGTTTTGTCTTGTCGCGCCGGGACACAGGGCATCACAGTATGTTAAGGGGCGTAACATTTCCGTCACACGCTTGAGGTATTCAGCCAATCACAATGCACTGGATAGCTGGCCAATCAGAGCACACCTCGCTTTTCAGACTGATAAGCTTTGTAAAAATCGACGTGTTTCAGAAAGGCGGGGCATAGAGGAGAAACAATAATGTACAGTATGTGGAAAATAATGTGTTTTTTTTTAACCTTAAACCACATAAACACACTGCATTACACCAAATACACAACATGTTCTTTTTAGCAACGTCATATGACCCCTTTAAAATGCATGAGAAGTATGCAGAGACAACTATAAGAAAGCCATCCATTGGTTGATTTCCCCAAAAAGTTTAAATGCCATGGTGCTATTGAAAATGTTCTGTTTGTTTGAGCATCCTGACAAACACATTCAGCAAATTATACACTTCAAAACTTGCCTAACCTAAAGTCTAAACATTTAATAAGAGTTTTCCTATCTTATGCAATAGTTGTTTCATATCAGAAAGTGCAATTTCTCTCTATATTTTCTTCTAGAGGTGGAGAGGAAAATCAGAGCAAATGACAGAGAATATAACTCATCCTTCAAATATGCTGTGAGTACAAAATCAGAAAATCACTCATCCAAACCTACAAAAATGAACATTTATGTTTTGTCTGATGATATAGTTGACAGAATGTGTCATCATGACCAGTTTCCTCTTAACAGATAGCAGTTATTTGTGATTCCCTTCTTTAAAAGAAACACACCAACACTTTTTATTTGTCATTGTGTTTCATCACTTATTACTTACATTTGGAAATGACGTAAAGCATGTGTAATCTTTAGACAAACCACATCTCCACATGAAACATGATATCTGAACATTACTGAATCATCTTTCATCTCTATCCTTTCTTCCTGAAGACCAATTCCATCAAGACCTCCAAATACAATCCCTTCACTTTTCTGCCTCTCAACTTGTTTGAGCAGTTCCAGAGGATCGCTAATGCCTACTTCCTCTTCCTGCTCATCTTACAGGTGTGTAAAATCCAAGTTTACTGAGTGGAGCATTGGAAACCGTTTACCAGAGTGATACTGTATGTTCATAATATTCTTTCATTAGTTTGTCAGTCTAAAAAATAAGTAAATGAATGTATAGGGATTTGGAAACAAAGTCTGTCCGATTCAAAAGAAGTGAGATTCTTTAAGGATGTGGCCTCAGATTCATATATTTAGTTTAGTCATGCATATTTCAAAGAATGTGATCATAACATGACCCTGACTTCCCTTATTAAGCCTACGCCCCACACCTTCAACATTGCTAAATACTTGCACAATAATGATGTTTCATGACCCCGTGACTTTATGAGCTCACTCTTTACTATCGCTGACTTTGAGGCAAGTCAGTTGACGGCAAACATTTTCGTTACACTCATGGGCAGCTATTTCCATTCTTGCAAGTACAGATACCCTATACAGTGATAAATTATTGGGGGAGACAGAAGTCTGTGTAACTGTTAAAAATTACATGATCAATAACGGACAATAATCGTATCATAAATTGTATTACTTAATCTCAAATCATGCAGTCATATTAGGTGATACGACTTCTCCCATTCATATATGTACAAGCCCAACCTCTCTGGCTCACGGTGTATAGTAACTATCAGTATGTTGCAGGCATTACTTTAATATCATGTTCCCACATTCAGAGCATGTTAACATTTTTTGTTTGTGTTTTGTAGGTTATTCCTGCTATTTCTTCTCTGTCCTGGTTCACCACAGTTGTCCCTCTAGTCTTGGTATTATCAGTGACTGCAGCCAAAGATGCCATTGATGATATTGTAAGTACACACGTGACAGTATACAACAAACTGAAGATCTAGTCATTCTTTGTTCATATTTCTTTCTTTCTTTTTTCCCTCCTGAGAGGAAACAGCAAGACCTTACTGTGATTAGACTGTTTTTGCCAAATTTTTCCAGAAGTCTTTAAAGGGATAGTCCACCCAAAAAATAAAATTCTGTCATCATTTCCTCACCCTCAAATCGATCCAAACCTGTATGACTTTCTTTCCTTTGCTAAACACAAAAGAAGATATTTTGAAGAATGTTGATAACCAAAAAGTTTTTCCCATTGACTTTCATTGTGTTGTTTGTCCATACTATGGAATTCAAGGCAACAGCAACTGTTTAGCTTTCGCCATTCTTCAAAATATCTTCTTGTCTTTCACAGAAGACATGAGGGTGAGGAAATGATGACAGAATTTTCATTTTTGGGTGGACTATACCTTTAATTTTTTGGTTTACTCTGCTCTGTTTAAAAACAGCTAAGACAACATGATAAATAGAAAATGTCTTCCATCAAATTTTTGTCCTAACCAGAAACAATTGCAACATTTTGTTGATTTGTTTTATGCCATGTAGTACTGGATAGCCTTGCCCACGTCTTCTGTCCCCATGTGATCCAGAGGACCTCCAGACTTTCTGCCAGACCCCAAATTGAGCTACCACTGGTTTTCCCATGCTCTGGTTGCGAGTCTTATGGAAATAAACAACATTTAGTTAATGAGGCTGGCAGCTTTTACTGCAATACTCAGTACATGCCTAATTTAAATGCCCTTTACTTTGGCACACAGGCGTCACTTAATACATCAAGCAAACTTTCCTCTGAGCAGAAAATCGTAAAGCAAAAGGTTACGGATCTAAAATTTGTCAGCGGTGGACTGGGAAATTTGATACAGTCAACAGGAGCCACCTCACCCTCAGCAGGAATACAGTAGTCCTTATGTTTCTGCTGAGGGGAATTAGGGAATCACGCTCCTCGCCCCTCCTCTCCTCTTTCTCTCCCCTTCAAAAACTGGGATGAGCTGGTTTCTGGATCCAGAAGGTCTTGGCATTTGAAGACAGATAATTCTCTTCTGTCTTCAAAAATTCATTTGTGACCTTGGACCACAAAACCAGCCTTAAGTCGCTGGGGTATATTTGTAGCAATAGCCAAAAATACATTGTATGGGTCAAAATTATAGATTTTTATTTTATGCCAAAATCATTAGGATATTAAGTAAAGATCATGTTCCATGAAGATATTTTGTAAATTTCCTACCATAAATATATCAAAACTTAATTTTTGATTAGTAATGTGCATTGCTAAGAACTTCATTTGGACAACTTTATAGCCGATTTTCTCAATATTTTGATTTTTTTTGCACCCTCAGATTCCAGATATTCAAATAGTTGTATCTCAACCAAATATTGTCCTATCCTAACAATCATATGGAATCAATCACCATACATCAATGGAAAGCTTATTTATTCAGCTTTCAGATGATGTAGAAATCTAAATTTTGAAAAATTGACACCTAAGACTGGTTTTGTGGTCCAGGGTCACATTTATCCCATGAGGGCTTCTGTTATCTTTTTCTTTTTGCTTTAATTTGGTTTCTTTTCCTACATGATTTTTCTTACGTTTTTTTTTTGTCTTTTTTTTCTGACAGAATCGCCACAGAAGTGACAGGCAGGTGAATAACCGCAAAGTGAATGTGCTCATCAGTGGGAAGTGAGTGGCTGTCAAATATTGTTTGTCACCCTCTCTCAGTCTTGTTACCTAAAGACCTTTTTCATACATTTTTCCAGCTAAAGCGGCTTCGAAAGTTAAAGTCCTTTCTTACTTTTAGGGATTTGGAGACCGTTATTCATGTTTTTATCTCCTCAAGGCTTGACTGTAATGCCTTGTATGCTGGAATCAGTCAGTCATTACTCTCACGATTACAGTTAGTCCAAAATGCTGCAGCTCACTTTCTGACTGGGACAAAAAAAGAGGGGACATATTTCACCTATCCAGGCCTCTCTCCATTGGCTCCCAGTGAAACAAAGAATTGATTTTAAGGTTTTAATTTATGTGTTTACAGCTCTACATGGACTTGCCCCTACTTATCTATCAGAACTTTTAAGTTTTTATTCTCCTCAGAGATCACTCAGATCTTCAGTCCAGCTGTTACTAAATGTCCCAAAATCTCGTCTGAAAACTAAAAGAGACGGGTCTTTTTCAGTCTATGCTCCAAAACTTTGGAACACACTACCCCTAATGATTAGAGCTTCCCCTACATTAACTGTTTTTAAAGCATCAATTAAAACACATATTTTTTTCTCAGGCTTACTCATAACTTGGTTTTATTCTCTTATGTATTTCTCTGATGCCTGACGTAGTAGCTTGTGATGTAGCAGGTTACATCTATTTTTGACTATTATGACTTTTGTTTTATTATTCTTCAAGTTATCAGATAAAATATTAGTTGTGTTCTGTTTTATTATGTGTTTTTTGCTCTGCTTGTGAAGCACTTTGGTCAACATCTGTGTTGTTTTAAGGTGCTATATAAATAAACCATGACCTTGACCTTGACCTTGATACAAGAAATTCACATGACACCAAATGCAATCAGAGCTGTTGTAGGTTCAATAGTTTACCAACAAGTAATTTTATATTTCCTATATTCTTTATACAAATTGAGTTTAGAGCAAAAAGGGTGCAAAAAACAACCAAGGTGGGATTTAGTAAATGTTTTCTTCTCATTTGTCTCTTGTATCTTGAATACTTAGAATTTTTAACTAACTACAAAACAATCACATCAATCACAACAGGACACAGCTGTAGACACACAGATAGGTTCTTCCTGTTGTTGTGACCTGTTCTCATGTTTTTAGATCACACACACACACACACACACACACACACACACACACACACACACACACACACACAACACACAGACACACACACACACACACACACAAACACACACACACACACAGTAAATGGCTGCTAGAATGATGCCTCATATTTCTATTTTTTTGAAATAATGTCCAGGTGGTCCCTCATCATATTTAAAGCTTGTCAGTATCAAGCTCAGCAAGAATGTATTTTCATAATTTATGTTGAGTTAAATAGAAACATGTGACCCACACTCCCTGAGTGTTGCAACTGTTGTGTTGTAATCAGAATTGTGTGGTTTGTGGTAGACGTTAATTTTTCTCTCTCTTTCATAATAGACTGATAAGTGAGAAATGGATGAATGTTCAAGTGGGAGACATCATAAAATTGGAGAATAACCAGTTTGTCACGGTAATACATTTTAAAGATTTAGATTTATATTCAACTTACCTGTAACTTTGAACTTTATATCTTTACTTAAAGATTTAGGATCAGATGTATATTAATATTGAATTAACATCACCTTGTCTCTCTGTATCCTCCTCACAGGCGGATTTGTTCCTGTTGTCCAGCAGTGAACCTCTCAACTTAGTCTACATTGAGACTGCGGAGCTGGATGGGTGAGTACAAGAAACACAATAGAGGGATTGTTTTTTTTTATGTATGTGCAGCTATATTAAATACATTTGTGTTGTTTTATGAAGCTGAAATATCTTATGTGAAGTACACAATGAATCCTGTGGGTTTTTTAAAATACTGTTTTAAAATTGTTTTTGTACAGTTTTTTTTTTTTTTTTCACACAGAGAAACCAACCTGAAGGTTAAACAGGCTCTGACTGTAACAGGAGACATGAGGGACAGTTTAGAGGCTTTGGCTGCATTCAATGGTGAGGAAAAAGAGAGAGAGAGAGAGAGAATTCCTTGCTCTAGTTAAAGGGATAGTTCACCAAAAAATGAAAATTCTGTCATCATTTACTGACCCTCAAGTTATTCCAAACCTGTAAGGCCCCGATCAGACAGAACATGTTTTTCAGGTTTGAAAACACGAGGTGCACCGCACCTGCTAGGCAATCACCAAATCAGCTGTCCTGTCAGTCTAACCAAAGATTACAGCACAAGCGCTCTCAAATCTTTGGTTTGCTGTTAAGTTAACTGTCATATTAGCAGAAACTTACAAAAAATACAGCTCCGGGTAACCCGTGACAGCCACCACAAGTTTCTCCTCCATCATTGCAGTCTCCGGATGTTCGAATCAACAATGGACTTCCATCACCACAACGGAAGGCCCGTTTCTCCATTCATTCAGTTTGACATTAAAGTCTGCTAACAAAAGTCAAAACGTATCAAATTTTTCCAAGAGCAAATTTTCTGAGCTATGCAATTCACAAAAAAAGTTAATATAAATGAAATGTAATAACATTTTCCTCTGGTCTTCTCTGTGCTTTCTTCAGGGGAGGTGTGCTGTGAGCCTCCTAACAACCGTCTGGATCGCTTTACGGGCACGCTGACGTTCGACTCGCAGAAATACTCGCTGGACAATGAGCGGGTCCTACTCAGGGGCTGCACGCTCCGAAACACTGACTGGTGTTTTGGCCTTGTGCTGTTTGCAGGTAATAAATTCAAGCAGATGTGTGGTTGTGTGGTCTGGAGCTGTCTGGTGTCCCAGTTCAATTCTTCTTTATTACTACAGAGAATGTGTCTGGTGTATGCATTTGAGGGTGTAAAATGGTTTGCTAGTCCATAGCCTAAATAGACTAGACAAAAACTGACTATAAATTAATAACATACTGGATTTACGATTGAAATCGTTATAGTGGCTTGCTCTCCTGAAGGAAGAGTGTTCTGATTCATATATATGTTATGTCTTCAGGCCCAGAGACTAAGTTGATGCAGAACTGTGGAAAAAGCACATTTAAGAGGACGAGTATCGATCGACTTATGAATGTACTGGTGCTCTTTGTAAGTTAAATGCTCTTTCACTTCAAGATATGCTCCACCTTTATGTATATATATACTGTATGTACATGTATGTATACATACATACATATATATATATGTATATATTTATATATATATTTATTTTATTTTTTTTTAAATAAATTAATCAAAAGTGAGTAAACATTGTTAATCTCTAAAAAATATATTAGCACAACTGTTTTCAACTGATAATAAGACCAACCTGATTAACACCAAATCAGCATATTAGAATCATTTTTGATGGATTATGTGACAGTGACGACTGGAGTAATGTCTACTGAAAATTAAGTTATGCTATCAGAGAAATTAATAAAATTTGAAGATATTGCGACCAAAATAAATGCAGCCTTTGTGAGCATAGGAGACCTCTTTCAAAAATCAAAAATCTTATTGACCATAAACTTTTGAACAGTTGTGCATATAAATAATAAAAGTTGACAGAAAAAAAGATGAGTATGTAATAAAATAATACAATATTTTGGGGATTTTTTTTTTTTTACTAAATTGACTGTATTTGTTGATCTAATATTGCATATAGTTGGTTAGTGTGTAAGGAGAAGGCTGGTCACTATAAGTTACTAATCAAGGTTGTGCTTTCTTTGTAGATTTTTGGGCTTCTGGCTCTGATGTGTATTATTCTGGCTGTGGGGAATGGGATTTGGGAAAACCATGCAGGGTCAAAGTTCAATGCCTTTCTTCCACGAGAAGAGAACACTGTGTTTTCAGCATTTCTCACTTTTTGGTCCTACATTATAATCCTCAACACTGTGGTGCCCATCTCACTATATGTCAGGTAGAGTATGTACTGTTTTCTGTAAGAATGAAATGAAAATGAAGAAATTATGTTTCTAGGTATCTTTTGGCTTTATTCCTTTTGGCTCTAATGCTGCTGCAATTGTTTTCAATTAACCTTTGACTCAAATTGTCATGCTGATAATGCAAAAACTTCTACACTAATTTAAAAAAGGAATGTCATTTTCATTCTCTGTTTACATTGCAGTATGGAAGTGATTCGGTTAGGCAACAGTTACTACATCAACTGGGACAGGACCATGTATCATGCACGAACTGACACGCCAGCTGAGGCTCGAACCACAACGCTCAATGAAGAGCTCGGGCAGATCAAATACATCTTCTCAGACAAAACCGGCACGCTCACCCAGAACATCATGACCTTCAACAAATGCTCCATTAACGGGAAATCTTATGGTCAGGACCAATCCCACATGCATCAGTTGTTTATTATATTTATAGGCCTATTTTATTTCAAAAGATTGCCAATGCTGACATTCCAAGACATAAAAGTCCCCTGCAGCGATCAAACAGCCAGATACTGTTTGAACTTAAAAATGTGTTTTCTCTGCAGGGGATGTTATTGACCACTATAGTGGACAGAGCCTGGAGATCACAGAGGTGAGAAACAAAGTCTCAAACAGTCACAAAGGATTTTAATGAGTCTGCTGGGTTAATGAGTTTGAGTTTGGTAATAGGAAATTACACCAGTGGATTTCTCCTTTAACCGGCTTGCGGACCCAAAATTCCTCTTTTATGATCATAGTCTGGTAGAGGGTGTAAAACTGGAGCTTCCAGACGTTCATGCTTTCTTCAGATTACTCGCTCTCTGTCACACTGTCATGGCAGAAGAAAAAAGGGAGGGTGAGTGATTGTGTATAACATGCCTTTCGCTTTTACTGTTTGTGTACATTAAATCATGAATTTTTTATTTTTTATTTTACTCTGTAGGTGATCTGGTGTACCAGGCCCAGTCTCCCGATGAGGGTGCTCTGGTCACGGCCGCACGTAATTTCGGCTTTGTGTTCCGCTCACGCAGTCCTGAGACAGTGACAATAGAGGAAATGGGAATTCAGAGGAGCTATGAGATGCTAGCCATCCTGGATTTTAACAATGTGCGAAAAAGGATGTCTGTAATTGGTATGCTCACTTGTGATTGAACAAATAGTTCTCCCAAAAATCTAAATTAGCTGAAAATGTACTCCCCCTCAGGCCATCCAAGATGTGAATCAGTTTGTTTCTTCATCAGAACAGATTTGTAGAAATTTATCATTACATCACTTGCTCACCAATGGATTCTCTGCTGTGAATGGGTGCCGTCAGAATGAGAGTCCAAACAGCTGATTTAAAAACGTCACAATAATCCGACTTGACTCCTGCCAATCAATTATTGTCTTGTGAAGCAAAAAGCTGTGTGTTTGTAATGAACAAATTCATCAAGACGTTTTTAACTTCCAATTCATTGCTTCTGGAGTCCCCTATCCAATAATATTGTTTTCTTCAGTGAAAAAAGTCATCTCATCTGAATCAGGAGAGAAATATGCACAGATAAATATGCACAGAAATATGCACAGACAGCACTGTTTACAAGTGAAAGCCATTCTAAACAAATATATCAGTGTGTTTTGATGTGAAAAGACAACAGGGGATTGACTTTTTCCAAAAGGGTCTGGCTGCAGCTTGGCGTTTGCACTCTCAGATGTGCATTCTCAGGCTTGCACTCTCAGACACTTGCACTTCCGCTAGCGACGTCACTTGCAGTCTTTTTTATTTTTTAATTTGTTCTATTTATTGATTGCTTTTTGTTTGAATCTCTCAATTCAAACAAAAAGTAATCAATAAATAGAACAAAATAAAAAATAAAAAGGACTGCAAGTGACGTCGCTAGTGGAAATGCAAGTGTCTGAGAGTGTAAGCCTGAGAATGCACGTCTGAGAGTGCAAATGCCAAGCTGCAGCCAGACCCTTCTCACTTTTTCACTAGATTTAGAGAATTGTTATTATAGATTATGGACTGATTCACCAGAAGTGATGGTTTAAAGTTAAAATGTTTTAATGAAGATTTTTTTTTATTTTTATTTTTTATTTTTTACAAATATGCATTTTTTTATGTCACAACTCATTGGAGTCATATGGATTACTTGTGGATTATAGTGACAGCACCCATTTACTGCAGAGGATCCATTGGTGAGCAAGCCTTGTAAAGCTAAATTTCTTAAAATCTGTTCAGATGAAGAAACAAACTAATCTATATCTTGGATGGCCTGATGGTAAGTAAATACACAGCAAAATGTTATCTTTGGGTGAACTATTGCTTTAAGAAGGCTCAATGGCTCTTCTCATATAGTGTGTATTTGTGTGTGATATATGTGTTTTTTTTCTTTCAGTTCGTAATCCAGAGGGCAAGCTCTCCCTGTACTGTAAAGGAGCAGACACCATCATATATGAGAGACTACATCCCTCCTGCAGTGAAGTGATGAAGGTCACCACAGAGCACCTCAATGTGAGTCAACACCAGAGGTCTCTAGTGAGACTACAAAGAGAATATTTGTTTATCTTTCTCAGAGTTTCCCATGCTATCTCACACACTTTAGACAATATAGCTCTGTTCCCAAACCTTGTGAGCTGCCTTCCTGACTTCTGTCTACACAGGTGGTAAACTAATTACTTCTTAACTCAAATAGAACATCATAAGCGGGTGATCTCCATAGAAGTCTCTGCAGATTTCCTCACAATAGGAATGCTATATACTTTAAATCTTGGGCATTAACTATATATTTGATTGTGCGTTCTCTCACAATCTTTTTCTCTCTGCCTCTGTAGGAGTTTGCTGGTGAGGGGTTGAGAACTCTTGTTCTAGCATATAAGGATTTGGATGAGGAATATTTTTCAGAGTGGAAACAGCGCCACCATGAGTCCAATGTGGCGCTGGAGTACCGGGAGGAGAAACTGGAGAAACTATATGAGGAGATAGAGAAAGACATGATGGTATGCACAAAACACTAAATGTATCCAGCACGTGTATATATATATATATATATATATATATATATAAATAGATTTTTTAAATATATATATATATATCAAAAATAGATTTTTTTTGTTCCAAGAATGAATGGCTGCACAAAATTGTCCTCAAATGATGTTGCTAATATTTTCTTTTTAATCATAAAAAGTGCAGTAAATGTGAATATTATATCAGTCATTTGCCTGCATGTCTTGTGTTTTTGATATGTGACTTCATTTGTAGACAGCACACTTAATATTCACTATAGCCATTTTATTCAACCAATAAAAAAAAAAAAAAATTAAATGTTAATTTACCTTAAATTATAGCTATTTTTTTAGAATATGAAGCTAAAGTGTTTTTGTGCTGTCCTTTTTGTGTAGTTAATTGGAGCCACAGCCATAGAGGATAAACTTCAGGATGGAGTCGCTCAGACGATTGAACAGCTGGCCAAAGCAGAAATCAAAATCTGGGTGCTCACTGGTGACAAGCAAGGTGCTTCATCATTTAATTATGAAATTCAGCCATTTCTTTATGCTATTTGTTACCCTTTGTCTCATCCCAAGTTATTTGAAAAATTGGCATATTGATCTAAGTTTCCTGACATGATTAAAGTAAACGTGATGTGTTTGCATTGCCTAATTTTCTGTGCTCTGCATCTCATGCTACGAGGGCGGAATAAAGGCACTAAGCAACACAGTCTCTTCCCAATGACTATTTTTGTAATTAAACTCAAACTTCTATGCTGTACATTATGAAAGTGCAATGATTCAGTTATGTAACATAATGAGGTCAGTGCTTGTGTCATTTATAATCATTATGTAATGTACTGATTACCCACCATTTGTGTGCGTGTTCTTGGTTGGCAGGATTGTTAATTAAGTTCCTTTAATGATAAATTACCAAATGGCCCTCTGAAAACTATAATAAAATGTCTTTCTCGAAAAGAGACCGCTGAGAACATTGGCTACTCATGTAACCTGCTGAGGGAGGAGATGAACGACGTGTTTATTGTTGCAGCTAACTCACCTGAGGAGGTCAGACAGGAGTTGAGGTAATATACAATAAGCACTCATGCAGATGACATAATATGTATCATGTACTAAAACACATGGACGGAGGCAAGATTCGTTATTTGGGTGGGCATTCACAAAATGGGTGATTTATAGGAAAATGTAAATGATTTCAGTTAAATTTCATATCCAAAATTTAGTTTGCGAAAGCATGATTCTTTTTCCTGCTATGTTTTTGGACTTTTTTGTATGTTTCTATAGAATTTCTGTTGTGTTTATTCATATTGTCTCTTTTTTGCAAAGGGATGCCCGTTTAAAGATGTGTCCTGATACTGAACAAGACAAATTCCTTATTCCTGAGATTATCCTGGGTAATATTCCAAAAGTGGTTCAGGATGAAAATGTGAATGGAGAGTACGGACTGGTGATAAATGGACACAGTTTGGTGAGAAACACACCTCTGTACTTTCTTCTGCCTAATGTCTGAAAGTGACTCTTGGTACCGAGATGGGTGTTGCTGCACAGAGTGAAAGCATTTCATTTCCTGTTGTTTATGTATGTGTCAGGTTTTTATATCCATAATGTAATTGTATGGGATCTTTGTGTTTGCAGGCGTTTGCTCTGGAGAGCAACATGGAGCTGGAGTTTTTGCGGACGGCTTGCATGTGCAAGACGGTCATCTGCTGTCGGGTGACTCCTCTGCAGAAAGCTCAGGTGGTGGAGCTGGTCAAGAAATATAAGAAAGCGGTCACTCTAGCGATAGGAGATGGAGCTAATGATGTCAGCATGATTAAAGGTGAATTCAGCTTGACAATAATGTAGATGCTTAATAACATAAACATTCTTAGGAATCAACTGTGTTGATTTTATTATATAAAATGGCATTTTAGACAGAATGTGAAAAAAATGTCAAATGTTCCTGCAGATATTAAATCATAATTGGAGTATTTTAGGTTTTACTTGTTCTTAGCAATGCAGTGTCATTATTTGTATGGTATTCTAGTATTTAATTCAAGTATTAATATTTTGATTTAGCTTTTATTTTTATATTTTCAGTGTTCATTTACATTTTATTTAATTATTTATGTATTCATTCATTCATTTAAATTTTGTTATGTGCTAATGTTATGTCATTTTTATTAGTGTTTGTTTTTATTTCCATATAGCATTGTGTTATTTTTTTATTTCAGTTTCAGTTATTTTAGTAATTCAGCTTAAACTTATTTCAGTCATATCTCATTTTCATTTCAGTTTTTTTAGTTTAAGAGTTTTATCTAATATTCGTATTTTATTTTATTTCAGCTTTATTTACATTTTTAATTTTAGCTTTCTATCTATATGCTAGTGTACTCCTAAAAACGACTTGGTTCATTGTTCATGATTTGTTTGCTGAGCTAATGCTCTTGCTTTATTTCCTTTTCAATCAATTGGTTGCAAAGGACAGCTTTTATTTGTATTTATTGCTTTTATTTGATATGAATATTCTTTTTTCTCTTTATTCTTCCTCTGCAGCGGCTCACATTGGTGTGGGTATCAGCGGTCAGGAGGGGATGCAGGCTGTGCTGTCTAGTGACTTTTCTTTTGCTCAGTTCCGTTTCCTGCAGCACCTCCTGCTGGTGCATGGGCGCTGGTCATACCTGCGCATGTGCAAGTTCCTGCGGTACTTCTTCTATAAGAACTTCACCTTTACCTTTGTGCACTTCTGGTACGCATTTTTTTGCGGCTTTTCCGCTCAGGTGAGCCAAGTGCAACAGAACTGAAAACTCTTATTTTTCCTTGCAATTACCCTTGCAAAGACTTCATTAATGTAAATATAAAAATCATTTGAGATTCTTGCATGTCTTTCTAGACAGTATATGATGAAGGCTTCATCACTTTGTATAACTTGGTATACACTGCCCTGCCTGTTCTGGGAATGAGTCTGTTTGACCAGGTAGGGTGTGTGTGTGTGTGTGTGTGTGTGTGTGTGTGTTAACATGAAATTAAAACTCATTTATGTATGTTTATGTCCAAACAAATACAATTCTGATGATACTGGATTCAGACAGTTGTGAAAGGCTATTGAAGAATTTTAATATTAAAAAATGTCAATTCATCATGTTCTTGTGTGTTAAAAAGATGAATGAGGCCTTGAGGCATTTCAACTGTATATTAATGGTTTGAAATGAACTAGTTTATTGAGATGAAATATGACTTAATATTGTTTTTTATGTTTCTCCAGGATGTGAATGCTGGCTGGAGTCTCGAGTACCCTCAGCTGTATGTGCCAGGACAGTTGAGTCAGTACTTCAGTAAACGTGCTTTCATGATGTGTGCACTTCACAGCTGGTACAGCTCTCTAGTGCTGTTCTTTGTGCCTTATGCTGCCACATATGACACGGCGAGAGACGACGGCAAAGATGGTGCAGACTATCAGTCATTCGCACTGATTACTCAAACCTGCCTCACCGTCACTATGTGTGTACAGGTCGGTTTAACCCTGCATTGCAGTTGTGTGTGTGATTAATTTGTTTAGATGTTTTATTTTTCCCTAATTTCTACTCTATATTCCCCACAGCTGGGACTGGACCTCTCGTACTGGACTGTTGTTAACAATCTCTTCGTTTGGGGAAGTTTGGGAATGTTCTTCATATTGACCTTCACCATGTATACTGATGGACTTTTCCGGTTACGTCCATCTTCTTTTGCGTTCATAGGTAAGCAGGGCTTGCACTTGTCTCCATCTCGTTTTTTTTTTTTTTTGGATACAAAAATGGTCAAAATATGTCAAAAATACAAAATAACCATATATGTGTGTGTGCAAAAAAATATAAATCATTACTGTAAAAATTTTGAATAAATAAATGTATGTAATATGTACATATATTTTATTGTTTATTATGTAGTGACAATGTTTGATTTTGGTGTTATTATTTCAAAGTTATCATCTAATAATAAAGGTTAAAAATGCTTGAAAAATGCTGAATGACTGTGTAATTATTATATTTTTTGCTCATTTAAATTGTTTTTATTATTAGATGATAACAGTACAATAAAATGCATAAGGATATGTGAAAATAATGTAGCATTCCATAATTTGAAATGTGTATGTCAAGTCACATACTGTTTTTCATATTAATTTTCAAGAAAAAGTGTTTAGTATAGAGTATATACAGTGTGTGTATGTTGTGTTTTACAGGAACTGCCCGAAATTGTCTTAACCAGCCCAATGTGTGGCTGACTGTTGCATTGACTGCTATACTGTGTGTGTTGCCTGTGGTTGCGTACCGGTTCTTCTACAGCCAGATCTCTCCTACCATCAATGACAAGGTATAGAGTTACATAACATCACATCATTGATCCTCAAATAGAGTGTAAATCACAGTTCCAGTTACTTACCGAATAACAGTAAATTACATCATTATTCCATTAACTATTATTATATCAATTACTTTTAAGATCGTTTATAAAACACATTACACATTGGCATGTTCTGAATATTAAGTGATTGACTATGTTTACATGCACATCAAATTCCGTTAAGGTCATTATTCAGATTGCAGCCATATTCAGAATGTTTATGCACATACAGGTTTTGGAATATTACTGTAATACAATATGCTCAGTTTTATAACCTTTTCTAAATCTGATAATTTAATTAGGACTAGCACTTTTCACCTAAAATGCCTGACACCACCACAAAATGGAAAGGGTCAGACAATCATTAATAATAATAATAATAATTATTATTATTATAATCGTTCATATTTTTTTTTTTATAATTCTATTTAAAAATCTGTCTCGTTGTCACTCTAGAAATGTATTGATGTTTCTTTTATTTCTTAATGCTGCAAGTTAAATTATTTTTTCATTTTGTTCTGCAGACGTAAAAAAAACACAAAACTTCATTCTGAATTCAGAATAGTGCATTTACATAAAAAGCAGTTTCTCTCATTTAAAAAATTATTTTTTATTTTATTTTATTACCAAACACACAGTATCAGGCAATTGGATTGCAGCGTTTACATGGCAAATAATATTGGAGTCTTGATGTGCATGTAAATGTAGTCATTGTGAGTGGCTGAATGAGAGAGAAAAAAGGGAAGACAGATTGAGAGGAAGTATGCATTATAATGTTTTCTTATAATTGTGTGTAATAGTGTGTAATTGTATAAGCGATAGTAGTATAATGAATAATAGAGTAAAGAGAAAGACAGTGTCTCAAGTGTTTGCTGATATGGATTTGTGGGGAAGGATGGATAGATTGGTGAACAAAATGAACAATTCTGTTTTGATTGTTGAATACAGGTGAGATATAAGGTGTGTCAGATGAAGGAACCTGCTCCTCGTCCGCGCCGCACCAAGCTCACCCGAAGGAGCACGCGTCGGTCTGGTTACGCCTTCTCTCACGCCCATGGTTATGGTGACCTCGTGACCTCTGGCAGATTTCTGCGGCGACATGCGCTCACTCCCTCCACGGGCTTGATTCCCACAGGACGCTCTCCTGGCTTCAAGCCCACAGGTCGGTCTGCGGGTTACAGCCCGGTCGGGCGAGAACAAAACCCCAAACAGAAAGTAGAACCAACGTCACTGCAGATGTTTCGTGCGGTTAAAGACTGTTCCTTTTGAGGGTGCAGCTTTTTAAACTGTGCTAGAACCAAAACCTTAAATGCTGTTTACAGGGTGTAAACTCTTGGGGACAATTTCACAGCTGCTGTGTTATGTTGATATGTATATAGCACAATATATATGCACACTAAGAACAATAGACTTGATTCCTAAAAGTACTAAATCTTGTTAGGGAGTGTGCATAGACACACTTGTCACTAAAAATGCAAGTGTGGTTTACAGCAAGAACAAACTGAAATATCTATCATGCTGAAGGACTGAGAGTACTTGTCCTTTCTACTGTCATCACTACTATGGGAGCGACAGACAAACTTGACTGTAAGAGAGCAAAAAAACAATGACATGCACATGATGTCAAAGAGGGTGTCATGAGTGATCTAATTCAAAATACTGTTTCCTGTTCTATTCCTCTTCCAGGTACTATGTCCACTAATGCCTTTTGACTGTTCTTGAGTCCTGAGTTAAATACTGTATATACCACACCCAACATTTTATATATTTGATATTTCATAACTCAAAGGGGTCATGTCATAATTTTATCCTTTCCCTGAGGTCCATTTATAATGTTAAGTTTTAATTTTTTGAGTTTTTATGCTACTGTACCTTTAAGAGCTCAATATAAGAGTCTTCTTAGGATGTGATATGAATAATAGCCTAGTCACACCAAGAAACGATAACTATATTACTACACCAGCGCACGATAATATTGTTTACTAAAAGTGTGTGCTACAGTTTTGTTGTCTGCCGCTTTAAATGCTACAGCTCTTTAAAGCAGGATGGATTTTGTTTGGCTGTCAATCTCTTTTTTTTTTTCATCAGCTGGAAAAATTATTTTGCAAGTGATTCATTATTGTTATAGTGTGTGCTGTTCTTTTAAATTTAGATTGATTTTTAAAACTATATCTGTATTGTTAATGTTATCATTGTTGGTGTGAATGGGCCTTAACAGTGCAGTGAAATGATCCTCAAATAGTTAAGATTGGACTGACGTGATCAAGGACCTTATTAAAAATAAATGTCAGCCACTCTACTAATTTTGGGATGTGTTGGAAGTTGACGCAGAGTCACACATGCTACAGTAACCGACAGCCAGAAAATGTCCATATGTGAATAATCATATCTACTGTATAATAGTATCCATCCCACTTCCTCCTCATTATTTCACTGTGACTAGGCAGTCCAAGTTGCTAAATAGATATTATTGTTGTGTAAATGCGAAGGGTATGTGTTAATGTATCATCACTTTGACAACACAAAGTCACAGCTTCCAGAACAAGACGTTTTTGCAGCTATGTTTCTATACATGCTTTTTCTTTGGACTAGGACAGGGGTCTAGACTTCTGAATGTTTCATTATGTTTACTTCCCAAAGTCGTGTATTTCAAAAGATCAAGGAAGCATCCATTTTTCATGTCATGACTTCATTATGTCAGAGCTAAAAAGAAACGAGGAGACCAATTTAAACACATTTATAGTATTAAATACTCATAGAGTGCCTTGCATATGACTGACTTAAAGATCAATGTTAGCACAAGGAGTTCTGATGGTTTGGGAACATACAAGTTTATTTTCAGTGCAGTAAAAAACATTTTAATTTAGCTTTACTCTGTATACTAATATACATCATATTCATACTCTAATTGTACTATGCACATCCTGTAAAAGCAAAAACATTTTGTACAAATAAAATATATATATATATATATATTTTTACACTTTTTTTATATTGTATAAAACTGTAAGTTTGATCAAGTCTTTTCAGTTACACATGGCTGTTAAAAGTTCACCCTGAAATTAAAATGCCATTAAACTGCCATTGGAAAAAAAATGATAAAGCACCATAGAAGGATCATAAAATTTCGAGTCCTTTACTGTATTTACTACAAGTCTTTGAAAGACATAACTTTGTGTTTGTTATTGACTTCCACTCATGTGGGCTGTTAACCACTGCAACCACTTTCTGCTCCACAGAAAAAAAGTCAGTCATATGGATGTATCAACATGATGGTAGGTAAATAAATAATGGCAGAATATCGGTTTTTGGGTGAACTATCCTTTAAATTCTTTTGATTTTAATGTTTGTTTTACTTATTATACTGTATGCTTGTTTCTAAACATTTTTAATTTGAATTAATTTGAATTATCATCAATTTAACTACTAAAAGCTAGACTAGAGACAGGCCCCAAAAAGTATTTGAACACTTCAGACAACATTTGCAGCACAATAATACCACCAGGTCACGAAATATCAAAAATAAATTGGTTTTAAAGGGGTCATATGATGTGATTTCAATTTTTCCTTTCTCTTTGAAGTGTTACAAGCTCTTGGTGCGTAAAGAAGATCTGTAAAGTTGCAAAGACTAAAGTCTCAAATCCAAAGAGATATTCTTTATAAAAGTTAAGAGTCAACCACGCCTACCTAAAACGGCTCGTTCTAACA